AGGGAAGGAGGAAGGAAGGGAAGAAGTAAGGGAGGGAAGGGGGATAGAAGGGAAGGAGAGGAAGGAAGGAAGAAATCGATGGGAAAGTTGAAGAGAGAGAGAGCGCTCAGTGGATGCCATGCAAGGGAAGGCCCTTCTATCCCTTTGCCAAAAGTTCAGCTGGAGGTGGAAACTGGCACGGCCGGTTTTTCCGGCAGCCTTTATCCACCGGCGGGCACCCTGGGGGTAGAGGCCCTTGGAGAGCTGCGTGCCACGAAAATTTCGGTTTTCTCGTTGGCCGATGAGTGTACGGGTCCGTCCAAAGTGACGGTAAAGTTAGCCTAAGCCTAAGCGGAGGAGGGAAGCGATGGGATGGATGCTGTGATGAACGAGGTTTGCTCTCTCCCCCACCCCCGCCCCCCTCTGCCTTGTCTTTTAGAGAGCCTGGACTCAGGGCTTGCTGGGCAAGGAACAGCTGCGGTGGTCGATGCAAAACGCCCACGTGCAGGAGTGGAAGGGCACCCAGCGCAAGTCCCTGGGCGACATCCTTTGCGTCTCCAAAGTCAAGTTGCAGCATTTACCTTTCCAGGTGCAGCATCCTTGATAGGAGGAGGGGGGGAGTGCGGGGGTGGGGGTGGGGTCATCCTGGGAGGGAATGAATTAATCTCAAGGGGGAGGAACGGAAATGCCGTTTTCTTTTGGGACAAAAACAATAGTTGAGGTATCTATAGCTCTGTCCTATTTCTATTCTGATTTCTATCCTATCCTATCCTATCGTAACCTAATTTTAATTCTATTTAATTCTATTTCTATTCCTCTTCTTTTCCTATTCCTATTCTAGTCTAGTCCATTGTCTAGTCTATTCTGATCTCTATCCTATCCTAATTTTATTTTGCATTCAATTCCTATTCCTATTCTATTCTGATTTCTATCCTATCCAAATTTTATTTTGCATTCTATCCTATCCTATCCTATCCTATCCTATCCCATCCCATCCCATCCCTATCTATCTATCTATCTATCTATCTATCTATCTATATTTCCTCCCCAAAAACTAAGCCCGACTACATAGTTTAATAGCAGAGCATGGGTGTCGAGCTAGTAGTCTAATATTTCTGAAGCTTTCACTGAACAAGAAAATAATAACAATCATAAATCCATAAATAAACAAATCCAGTCAAAACATCTTCTAATCTAGATGATTGTGCAGCCAATAGTAATAATAATATTCTTCTTTTTAATCAACATCTGCCTATCCTAGGTCCTTTGGAAGGACATGATAGTTAGACCAAAATGCCAAACCCAGTCTAAAAATCTGGCTAGTGCTATGCATACCCAAGTGTAAATAATCCCATTTTTTGCTTCTTTTTGCATAAAGTTTCACCAAGTAATAGGTATGCAGATGGTGTATCTCTTTTTTATATGTAATACGGTCTTCTTGGGTACCAACAGGAACAACATCATCGCCTGTTGGTGCTTTATCCTTCCACGCTGGTTATTGTATCTGAAGAACGCAACGGCCTCTACTTCAAGGTAAGACAAATTCCTTGCTGGTGTTTTCTTTTTCTCGTGAGGTCATTTGGGTTGATAAAAGTATATATAGAATTCAGAATAGAATAGAACAGAACAGAACAGAATAGGAGAAAGAGAAGAGAATGGAACAGAATAGTATAGAATAGGAATTCTTTACTAAATGCAGATTATAAAATTTTTGCTTCAATATTAGCAGAAAGACTTAAAAAGTACTTGAATAATTTTATTCACCCAGACCAAAATGGGTTTTTGCCAAAGCGACAAATCAGAGACAATATGAGAGTAATTCTGGACACCCTGGAATACTATGAGGCACATCCTGAAAAGCAAATGGCTTTGATATTTTTAGATGCTCAAAAGGCATTTGATAACGTGAATTGGAGATTTATGTTACTTTTAATGGAACAGATGGGCTTTGCTAGAAGATTTATTCAGGCAATAGAAGCAATTTATAATGAACAAACAGCTAAGGTAATGATGGAGGGAGAATTTACAGATCCTATTAATATAAGAAAAGGCACAAGACAAGGTTGTCCTCTTTCTCCCTTGATATTTGTATTGACTTTGGAAGTGTTGAATAGAAATATCAGAGAAGATAAAACTATAAAAGGAATGAAAATTAAAAAGGAAGAATTTAAACTACAAGCCTTTGCAGATGACCTAGTCTTTATCTTGGAAGACCCTATAGAAACAGCCTCGAAACTGTTGGAAAAGATAGAGGTCTATGGGGAGGTGGCTGGTTTGAAAATAAATAGAGATAAAACAAAGATTTTGTCAAAGAATATGTTGCTGAAACAAAGGGAAGAGTTGGCAGAACTGTTAAAAATTCAAGTTACAAACAAGGTTAAGTATCTGGGGATATATTTGACATCAAGATGTAGTACATTGAAGGAGAATAATTATATTAAACTTAAACAACAGATAGCTCAAGACTTGAAAAAATGGGAGAACTTACAATTGTCATTAATAGGAAGGATTTCAACAATTAAGATGAACATTTTACCCAGAGTCTTATTTTTGTTTCAAACAATACCAATTAGGCTTGGAAAAGAATATTTTGAGGATTTAAATAAAATTGTTTTGAAGTATATATGGCAAGGTAAGAAAGCAAGAATAAAGTTAAAGCTTTTACAGGATGCTAGATTTAGAGGAGGGTTTGGACTGCCTAATTGGGAGTTGTACTACCAAGCTGCAAACTTGACGTGGGTTAAAGAATGGATAACATTAAGGAAAACCAGATTGTTGACATTAGAAGGTCATGATTTGTTGTTGGGCTGGCATGCTTTTTTATGGTACAAGGGAACTAAAACACAGGGGTATTTTAGAAGGCATTATATACGGGAGTCTCTGTGGTTGAATTGGGAGAAGATAAAAAAACAGTGTTATTTGAAAATTCCAGTTTGGTTATCGACGATAGAAGCGTTTTCTTATCCTATAATCTATAAAAAGGAACAAACAGTTAACTATGGGGAATTATTAGATGAAAAGGGTGAACTTAAATCGATGCAAAAATTGGAAGAACAAGGTATACGGATGAATTGGTTTTCATATTTGCAAATATATTCAAAGTACTATGAGGATTCCAAAGCAGAGGGATTTTATGATAAGCAAACTGACTTGGATAAGATTTTGATGGGTACTGATGAAAAGGTGATTAAAAAATTGTATGGTTATTTATTGCAAATTAAGCTTGAGGAAGAACAAGTTAAAGAAACTATGATTGCGTGGGGGAGGAATTTTGGATATGGGATTGATTTAGAGAAATGGCAGAAATTATGGTCGCAAAATTATAAAATGACAATGTCTACAGCCTATAAAGAAAACTTGTATAAGATGTTTTACAGGTGGCATTTTCCCCCGACAAGGATAGCAAGAATGTTTAAGAACAAATCCGAAAAATGCTGGAAATGTCATCAGAAACCTGGTTCATACTATCACATGTGGTGGACTTGTGAGGATGCTAGAAAATATTGGACTAAAATCCACATGTGGCTGGAAAAAATGACAAAGAAGCATATAGACTTGAAACCGGAGTTTTTTCTATTGGGAATACTACCAGATACTTATAGTAAAGAGTTGAAATATTTGATTGTAAATGTATTGACTGCTGCTAGGATTGTATTTGCAAAAAATTGGAAAAATGAGAAAATTCCATTGCAAGAAGAAGTTGTAAAGAAAATTTTGGAATGTGCTGAGATGAGTAGATTGACTTTTGAAATTAGAGAGCAAGAAGATAAACAATTTTATTTAGTTTGGGATCTTTTCTATCAATGGTTGAATGATGAAATATTAAAATATAAAAGTTAGATAATAAGGAATAATAATGACTTTATTTTCCCTTTCCTTTTATTGGTTTTTGATACTATATTTATATAATAGTTTTCTTTGTTTCTTTCTTTTTCATATTTGGGATAGAATTGGTATGATTATAAGATTTGTTTTAGAATAAAATATTTAAAATATAGTTATCTCATAAAGGCATGACCGAATAAAAGTTTAGTCAAATTTTTTTTTTTTTTTTTCTCTTTAATAGAGATACTAGGATTTATAAATTTGTATTGATAAGAGTATTATATAAAGTAACTGTAATTGTGACTATGAGGTGAATGCACAAAACCGATGGACCAACCGACTTACGGTGTGTACAAAAATATGGGGGAGCTGATACTTTTATGTTTTGTTGTTGTGTTTTTTATGTTAAAAAAATAATAAAAATTTATATAAAAAAAAAAAAAGAATAGTATAGAATAGGAATAGGAATCCAATCTCTGCTTAAAAACTTCCAGGGTTGGAGCATTTATAACCTCTGGAGACAAGTTGTTCCACTGGTTAATTGTTCTCACTGTCAGGAAATTCCTCCTTAGTTCTAAATTGCTTCTCTCCTTGATTAGTTTCCATCCATTTATTGCTTCCTGTCCTGCCTTCTCAGGTGCTTTGGAGAATAGCTTGACTCCCTCTTCTTTGGGGCAGCCCCTGAGACATCGGAAGACTGCTAACATGTCTCCCCTAGTTCTTCTTTTCATCAAACTAGACATACCCATTGTTCTCACTGTCAGGAAATTCCTCCTTAGTTCTAAGTTGCTTTTCTCCCTCATGAGTTTCCACCCCATTGCTTCTCGTCCTATACCCCTATGGAGGTTTTTCCAGCTCTACCCCCTCATATAAGACAAAAAAGCAGATGAGATTGCAGGTTGCAGAGATAAACCTTCAAAAGTTCACTTGGACTTTTGTACTCTATAACAAGCGATGAAATCTAAACCGGCTTGTTCTGGCTTATTTCATTTTCTGCCTCGCCTCGCGTAATTTCAGGAGCGTTGTTGCACTGATCCCATCTCAGCCACTTCCTCCAGCGGGCACGGGGTGCCCTGGCAAGGGGGTACAAAGGATCTCCAAGGGATGCAGGAGGCTGGAGCACCCTGTCCCTTTAAAAAGAAAAAAAAGGTGTGTGGGGGAAGAGAAAAATAAAAGGAGCACCCGGCTTTCGTTCTCCTAAGAAAGCCGACGGGTGTCTGAATAGTTGTGGTTACGGCCGCCGTCAGCAAGGGTGGTGCAGCCACATTCCTTGAGCGGTGGCGCAAGACGGCCAAGCCCGTACGGTAGCCGAGTTCTCACGGAGCCAGCCAACCTATTTTAAGAGTTGCAAGGTTGCAAGTGGGGGCCTTTGGGTGACTCAGCAGCCCACCCACCCGCAACCCCCAGCATCCTGGCAGAACCGAGGCAGGCATCTCTGAGGAGGCAATGGATAATTGTGGGGCGGGGTGAGGAACATGGCCACTTCCTTAGCCCTGGTGGAAAAAGCGGGCCAGTTTTGCTTTCCTTCCCTGCTGCTTCGCTGGCGCTATTTGGACTCATCCCAGATGTGGGAGGCGAGCTCTTGTTGTCTAAGGTAGAAGCAATCCAGTGCTTGTCCTTTAAAATGGATGTCTGTAGAGGACGTTTTAAAATTCCCCAAAGGGAGAAGGGGGGGCGGCTTTGGATCTGACAATCAGAACATCTCCACACACACCCCACCCCGGGACCTGTGAGTTTCTTTCTCCCGACCAGCCCCGTGACTCTGATTCTGCCACAAGGACGCAGAAGCAACTCTGCCCCGCGACGGTTTTGGGATGCCTTTTAAAAATAGGCACAGGAGTGTGGGTCGGCCAACATGTGTTGCAGAAAAACCGCCTGTGGCTTTGGCAGGGGGTTGAGGAGTATGCGCTAGGAGCCAGCTGTTGGCGAGAGCTGGCTGAATAGGGGCTTTTTCAAAGGACATTTGGCCTCTGGTAGCCGCGGTGGCGCAGTGGTTCTATTCTATTCTATTCTATTCTATTCTATTCTATTCTATTCTATTCTATCTTATTCTATTCTTATTCTATTCTATTCTTTCTCATTCTATTCTATTCTTTCTTATTCCATTGTATTCTATTCTTCTATTCTAATCTTTCTCATTCTATCTTATTCTATTCTTATTCTATTCTATTCTTTCTCATTCTATTCTATTCTTTCTTGTTCTATTCTATTCTATTCTATTCTATTCCTTAAAGTTGGGCCCCTCTTCTTCTGATTCTTCTCTTGTATTAACCCTTCTTCAGCCTTCTGCACATACACAATTTGTTCAGTTTTGGGGGAGCAGAAGAGAACTTTGCTCCTTCTAACTGAAAATATATATATCTCTCTCTCTCTTACACACACACACACACACACACCTGAAAATCAGCCTCAACCCCTCTGCAAATTGCTGGAGAAGGGGAAAACAGCCTCGGTGACTTTTGAAAGGATTTTGTGATTGGTAAACTCCTGCAGGTATAAAGTCCTTTAGGTCATGGAATTTTTTTTTTTTCAAACCGGAGCCTTAACTCTAAAAGGGTTGACTTCAAACACAAGGATTTTAAGTCAACAATCATAAAAAAAAAGAAAAAAAAGGAAAAACAAGAATCTCTGCAGAGCACTTTTTTGAGAGTGACCGGTTTTTAACTTAAAAACAAAAGAGGGTCGTGGAAGAAAACGTCACAACGTGAGTTTTTTTCTTTAGATCCTGCCCGATCCCTCTGGTGGATGCACCGTTTTATTTAGTCCTCAGCTTACGGCCATATCCGGGGACAGAATTCCCACTGCTAAGCAAAGCGATATGGGGATCACACGAATCCAGGAACCTACAACCAGTTGTAAATAACAAATGCTGGCTACTAAGCACCCGAATTTTGATTGTGTAACTCATGGGGATGTTGTAATATTTGTAAACATGAGGGCTGATTGGGAGCAACTTCTCTCTCTCTCTTTTTGTAATTCTGAACAGTCGCTAAACAGGTGATCCTCAACCTACGACCTAAAACTCCCACTGCTAGGCAAGCTAGGCAACTATTGCCCCCTTTTTATGACCTTTATAGCCATGGTCGTTGAGTTAGTAATGTGGTTGTTAAGTGAATGAGGCTTCCCCCCTCCATTGGTCAGACGGTCGCAAAAGGGGATCCCCGGGACACAGCGGGTGTCGTAAGTACAGTACATGCCAGTTGCCAAGCATCCAAATTTTGATCACGTGACCCTAAGGGGGAGGCAATGCTGGGTCATAAGTGAGAAAAACGGTCCCACATCACTTTTTTTCAGCCCCGTTGAACGTCATTAAACAAATGGTTGTAAGTTGAGAACTATCTGTATGTTCGCCATCTGGCTTCTGTTAAGTTAGGAAGTTTGTCAGGCCAACTTTTTTTTAATCACTTTTGCAGTCTAGAACTGATTGGCCTGGCTAGACTAGGGAAGAGAAGGACCAGGGGAGACAGGAGAGCAGCCTTCCAATATTTGAGGGGCTGCCCCAGAGAGGAGGAAGGGGGTCAAGCTATTCTCCAAAGCACCTGAAGGCCAGACAAGGAATAATGGATGGAAACTGAACAAGGAGGGATTTAACCTGAAAATAAAGAGGAATTTTCTGACAGGGAGAACAATCAACCCATGGAACAGAGGTTGCCTTTGGATGTTGTGGGAGCTTCATCAGTACCGGTTCTGTGGGCGTGGCTTGGTGGACATGGCTTGCTGGGCGTGGCAGGGGAAGGATACTTCGCAATTCCCATTCCTTCCCCACCCCACTAACCTGCTTTCCAGCTCCGTTCTCCTGGGCAGGGCAACCAAAGAAGAACCAGCCGATCAGCTGGGAGGCAGAGAATAGATGGGGTTGGCAGGGCCAGTCAGAGGTGGGATTGGCCGGTTCTCTGAACGACTCAAAATTTCCGCTACCCGGTCAGAACCATCTGAAGACCACCTCTGCTTCCAGCTCGGTTAATATGATAAGTCCAATACTTGTTTAATCAGGCTGCAAAATGGGATTTGATTTTAGCTTGAAAAGTTGAGTGTGTTTGTTTACACTTGGACAAGGAAGAATCGTGTAAAATCCATCTGGGTGGGGTTTTGGTATTTTAAATGATGTCTGAATTTTTTTTTTCCCCCTCTACAAACAGGGTGAATTGCCTTTGAATGCCATCCAAGTACAATTTGAGGAAAACCAGAAGACTGCATTTTTAATAGAAGGTAGGTCCCTTACTTACGTGTAAACTTTGGGGCTTGTTTGTGTGTGTGTGAGTGTGTGTGTGTGTGTGTGTGTTATCAAGAAGAAAAGACTACAGGACATTTGGGATCACACTTTCCATGGAGATGGTTAAAAATAAGGCACAGTTTTACTACCCTTGTTTTCGCCATGGTTGTTGCAGTCACTAAGTGAATCACGGGGTCATTAAAGCAAATCCCTTATTGACTTTTCTTGTCGGAAGCCAGCTGGGAAGGCCGCTAAACACAGCAAACAGGTGTTGCCTTTTAACAGTGGTTGTATACATACATATAAGTGGTAGGCAAATACCTGACAAGCAATCAATCTTCTTTACTCTGCATGGAGAACTACAATGGAGATAGAACAGGAGGAGAGAGAGAGAGAGAGAGAGAAGCCCTCTCATGGCCACCCCTATATAGACAGCTTCTTAAAGCAGTATCCAGCTAATTCATTCCCCAGTTCATCATCTTGGCTTACACCCCTACAGCACCTGGTCAGCTCTTAAATCTTCATTACCTTAACATGTCCTGTCACAGAGAATCCAGCCACGGACATCTCCTCCCTTAAAAAGAGACGACGGGTGGGGAAGATTCTCTGAAGGATCGCTTCCTGTTCAAAGATCAGGATCAAAAAAAAACCCTCCGTTTGGTTAGGGACTAGACGTGATCTCTATTTATTCCTAGGTCGGCTAATCAACTCTATCCGGGTGATTTGCTCCAGCTACGAAGATTACCAAGAGTGGTTATATTGCCTTAAAACCGCTCAGTTCCGCCATGCAGATTCCTCCCTTTCTGGATCGGAGAGCTTCTCTGGGTTGAAGCCTTCTCACCTGACACAGGTAAGGCACTGTTTCCTGCCTGGTTTATTAACACAATTCTGCATTATGCGTACCAGGAGAACGGCTCTTTGTTTCCTCGCTTAAATCCTCTTCCTGGCATAACTCTGCCCAATTGTTCTGACCTAGGCTTCCCAAAAATCACAAGGCAGACTCCTTCTCCCGACAAAACCCCCTTGTTATTAGGCCGGTGTGAATTCCTCTCATTCACATCCAGCAAAGTCCCTGTAAAAAAGTCTTTCAAGGGTGAATTGCAGACACAGATCTTATCAGGCTTGGAGAGTTGCCAGGCCGATAGCTTCCAAGCGCAACACTGTACCAGAAAATACTTGGCAAGGAGTCTCTGTGAGTCACGAACAAATCTTCACACTAATTAAACGAACAAATTGTCTCCTGCAAACACCCCTCCACTTTCACTCCTCTTTATTCCCTTATGGGAGTGGCATGGATTGCTGGGTGTGGCTTGTTGGGCGTGGCAGGGGAAGGCTCCTACAAAATCCCCATTCCCTCTCCACCCCCACCTCCAACCTGCTTTCCAGCTCCGTTCTCCTGTGCAGGGCAACCAAAGGAGACCCAGCCAATCAGCTGGGACTCGGGAGGCGGAGAATAGATGGAGGCGGGGCTAGTCAGAGGTGGGATTTGCCGGTTCTCCCAACTACTCAAAATTTCTGCTACCGGTTCTCCAGAACTGGTCAGAACCTGCTGGATACCACTTCTGGTCATAACTTACTTTTTTCTATGCCATGGTAACTTTGGTCAGTAAAGGAATTGTTGTAAATCAAGGACCGCTGTAATCTCTTCATGAACTACCCGCTTAACATCTCACTCTTCTTCCCCATTCTTTGAAGGCCAGGATTGCATTCCTTTTGCCATGCCAATCGTTCAAGTGTATTCGATCAGCTTCTCTGCCCGCGGCCCAAATTCCATGCATTTTAATTTCTCGCTTGGTTTAGTTTTCAGGAAGCGGAAGAGGGTCACTCACCTCGGAGGGCAGAACGAATTCCTGGGCTTCTGCTGGGAAGGGGCCTACGTCCACCCACCACTCCCAAACTAGCACAGCCTCTCTGTCCGAGAGACCATCGGTCGACGCGTTGCCCCAGAATTGGTTAGCTGAAAACCCTGTGCCGCAACCAGTCTGCGTAAGTTGGAGGTTCAAAAATCGTTCGGTTTGTTTTTTGAATGTCACAAAGGAGTTTTTTTTTTCCCCAAGAGGCAACTAGACTTTCTGGTTTTTCTTCAGCTCTGACTGGGTGGCAAGGAACGGAAGGATTTATGGGCTGAAGAAGCTTCTGGGAGAAGCGAAAGCCTTCAAAGAAAAACCAGACAGTCCAGTTGCCTCTTGAAAAACAAAAAAAAGCACCTAAAAGCAAAGAAATTTTGGAATAAAATAAGGATCTGGTTGCAAGAAGTAATTGGTTCAAAAACAGAACTTAAGCCTGAAATGTTCTTACTAGGTATATTCAGAGGTGAATATAAGAAAGACATTGAATATATACGGTAATAATACATATACTAACAGCAGCTAGAATAATGTATGCCCTAAATTGGAAATTAGAGAGTAGCCCCACAGATAATATGATTATAAAGAAAATTATGGATTGGGCAGAAATGAATAAACTTATAATGGAATTGCAGGAGAAAGAAAACAAAGAATATTATATGGTTTGGGGAAAATGGTATGTTTGGTTAGATAACAGGAATAAAAGATAATGCAAAATGTAAATGTAAATGGGGTGTGTGTGTGTGTGTGTGTGTGTGTATGTAAATGAAAATGGAAAAGTCGATGCCACAACTCACTGCAAAAACTATATATATGATTTGTTTTTAAAGCTGAAAAAAATTAATAAAAAATATTTAATATTTTAAAAAGCACCTTTGGGACAACCATTACCTGGAGGACTGAGAATCTCCATAAACTTTTGAACAAATGTTCCTTAGAAGACAATATTTGTAGCATGGGGTTGAACTGTGTGGTCCTTTGTGCTCCCTTGAGTTCGGTGCTCTTCTTCCAGGCGTTTCATGACCACACTAGGTAACATCATCAGGGCCTCTGTCTCCCTTTTTTGCATTTATTTTAACAATAAATAGGAGCTTTATTATGGAGCTTTTGCAAAAGGGAATTCTGTGCTCACGGGTGGAGCCACAGAAGACATTTCCCCCAGGAAGGCTGGGGTTTATATACCGTTTCAAATATACAGTCTCTGCCCCTTTCCGGGTTCACAATCTATCCAGCTACACCTCACCCTACGCAACACCGCTATTATTGTAGTGTAACATCAGTTTCCTTAACCTGTTTACCCATTTCCATTTCCAGTAATCTCCTTCATTAACATGTTACTGGACAGCGTGACCCACCAAATATATGACCTTCATACAAAACAATAGAGAATTCTTACATAATATTCCAGTAAATTATCTTAGGTTAATACCGAAGTTAAAAATGGCGTTACCATTGCTTCATATTTCCACAGGTATAATTTTACATATCACACCATGTAATTTTTCTGCTCAGGGATGGTGTAGAGACATAAATGGTGTCTCCTCTTGTTGCAGTGCTCAGGAAAGCAAGGGGCAGGAATGCCGAAAGCCGAGCTGAAAAGAAAAGGGAGTTCTCGAAAGTCCAAAGGGAAGGGGGTCCCGCCATCTCAGCCCCCCCAGGGCCACTGGGAGGACTCCGAAAAGAAAAGCCCCTTCCCGCTCATCTCAAAGCACCCCCATGGAGAAGGAGTCTCTGCCGTGTACAATGAGCCGTACTCAGCCCTGGCCCAACAGGAGCATCCTGCCGTCCGCCCGCTGCACCTGGACTTAAACCATGTACGGGTTGAGGATAATCGGAGAATTTGGGGAGTGGGCAGAGCTCTGGGATTGTTCTGACCTAGGCTTCCCAAGATCATGAAGCAGACTCCTCGTCCTGATAAAACCCCTTTTATTTAGGTTAAAGTGAATTCCTCTCCAGCAAAGTCCCCGCCAACAGTCTTTCATAAGCTTTCACAACTACAGACTTTTATCAGGCTTGGAGAGCTGCCAGGCCGATATCTTCCAAACGTCATGCTGTAGCACCAATTACTTGGCAAGAAGTCAGGAACAGATCTTCACTCTAATGAATGGAACTAATTGTCTCCTGCAAACTCCACTCCCCTTTCATTCCTCTTTATTCCCTGTGGGAGGAGCCATTCACCGTTCACCTGTGGTTTTACTCCCGAGTCGACCCTTGTTCCTTAGCTGTTCCCTTCTCCTGGCAGCTCTGTGCATGCACATATCGGGGACAGGCTCCAGCTGCTCTTCTTCCCAACTGATCTCCAATAGCTGATAACTGTCGGACGGCCCTGGCCTCATCTCTGCCTCCGATGCAGAGCCCTTGTCAGAGCCTTCCCCAGACTCCAGGACTGGCCCATGTTCCTCCACAACCTCCTCACTGTCCGAGTCTGCCACCAGCTCTGCTGGCCACTTGTGGGCCACAACAGGGATCAAAGCCCTGCTTTGTGGGCTTGGGAGGACGAGGATCTGGAATGGCCCTGCAAACGTCCCTCTGCAGCTGGATTTCTCATGCAATGAGCCTTTTTTTTTTTTTGTCTCCTCTGCAGCTGAAACAGTGGAACGTGCCACGGAGTCAGACTTGTCCAGCTCCCCAAACCTTGGAAAATATCTCTCTGTCGTCTTCCCCCATGTATGCGGATCCCTACACGCCCAATTCCCCCTCCTCGCACGGGGCCGCAGGCTCGTACTTCCTCGACGAGGTGAGTGGGGCCAAGTAAGCAGAGGGTACAAGGGGGATCTCAAAATGATTGTACAGGTAGTCTTCAACTTACAATAGTTTCTTCTCCTTCTTCCCCCCTCTCTCCCTCCTCTTCTTTCTCTTCCTCCACTTCCTCCTCCTTCTCCCCCCTTCTCTCCATCTTTCTCTTCCTCTTCTTGCTTCTCTTTTTCTTCTCCCTCTCCTTCCTTTTCTTTCTCCTCCTCCGCTTCCTTTCTCCTTTCTTCTTCTTCCTCTTCTCTCCCTCTTCCTCCTCTTTTCTCTTCCTCTTCTTTCTCCTCCTCTTCCTCCTCCTCCTTCTTCCCCCTCCCTCCTTTCTCCTCTTCTTTCTCCTCCTCTTCCCTCCTCCCTCCTTCTTCTTCTCCCACTCTCTCTCCCTCTTCTTCTTTCTCCTTCCTTCCTTCTTCCTCCCTCTTCCTCCCCCCCTTCCTTCTTCATCTCTTTCGCAGCTTGGGAGGTGTCACGGGCCATCCACTGTGGAGCACCAGAATGGCTACCCGGCCATGCCAGTGTCCGTTCCCATCTGCCACCATCCTCTTGGCTGGAGGAGCTTTCAACCTTCCTGCGGAAATCCCTGGCGAGAACCCAGCCTTGCACAGAGAGGCAATGCCTCGGTCCCGGCCTTCCATTTTGCCACAGAACCCGCACCAGATGTCCATTACTTGACCACGGTAAGTGCTGTGCAACATTTCCTGAAGAGGTTTGATCCTCCTTACCCACTTCTGGGTGGGGTAGGGGTGGAATCGGGAGACAAAACTGTCCTGTGGGTGTCATGCCCTTGTCGGAGTCTGATTCCGAAGGGGAGATTGAGCAACTGACAGGGAGTGTGGATCCGGTGGCTGTGGGGAAAATAGGGGAAGGGCACAGTCTGGCTGGGCATTCAGAGGAAGACCCAGGGCCATCCCCTCTTCATCCTAGGGCACGCATGGAGGAATGGAGAAGGGAGCAACATGGCTTATGGGAGAGAAAAGGGCCCTGATCCCTTTCATTAGTTGCAGCTGGGAGAACAGGATATAAGTGGGGCGTTTGCACACAGCACATTGCTGGAATCAAAGCATGCATTATCTTTGTCAGGCTTATCTGGGTTTTGGCGTCCTCCCAACTGTGTGTGCCTCGTTATCTTTTGGAAGTCTGCAATTTATTATCCTGGTCTGTCGTGTTAATTACCTCAGCGTGGTTTGTGTTGGTTTTTTTATTTCTACTTTATCTGTACTTTGGGTTCGGACTGCACTTCTTCCCTTCGTAGACAGTTTTTGGAAGAGTTTGATCTCCTGCCGAGGATAACTGGACGTTAGGGGACAAGTTGGCGGCGTTAAAGGGAATTTATCTACTTTTGTGACTTTGTTGTTTTTGTGCCACGCCCCTGGTCATCGCAGTGGGCTTCACAGCTCTCAACTCCTTTTTTTTTTGGTCTTTCCTCACCTGCAAACAGAGCACCTCGTCCGGAGATGGCCTTCGGATGCGTTCCTTGCCGACTTCAGGTGAGTGCTTGGGAAACCTTGAGTCTTGGCTTTGAATGAGTCTTCTGGATTAGAATTCACAGTCACGTAGGAGAAGAACAGCCAAATATATGGACCATCTCTTATTAACTGGGAAAGCCTAGAGCAATTGCCTCCTCACTCAACATTGTCAAAACTGCAAAACTCCGTAGTTTACTCCACCGGAAAAGTCCGAGTTCTAAAGTAAATGTTGAGGTGTATTCTATTTCTTTAAAGATATGCTCCCATTGTCTCAGTTTAAAAAATGGTTTTGATTCCTCTATCTCCATGCAACATACTGCTAAATGTACATTTAGAAGCATTCTCCCCCCGACACCCAAATCTTAACCTATTACTTTAAAATATTACATTAAAATAATTTCTACAAGTGTCTTGTCAGGAAAACGTTAAAAATTTAGAACGACCAGGAAAATTAGTTCTAATTTGAATAGCCATACCTTGAAACTTGATTAATCAAAATTAACTAATTTTTGGAACTGCCTCCAGGCTTACTTGGACCTATTTCCTTCTAAGCGATTGACAAAATCAAATAAATAAAGAAGACTGGACAATTCAGAGGGGATCCAAACGAAAGCAACTATCAGGTTGCAATGATTGCACTCATTAAATCATGAGCAATGCAACTCCAGAAGGAGCGTTCAATGGTCCTTACCGGGGAAGGGATTGCGGCCTGCTTGGCTGCCCCAGGCTTCAAATCCTTAACTTAAAGAATAGCAGAGTTGGAAGGGACCTTGGAGGTCTTCTAGTCCAACCCCCTACTCAAGCAGGGAACCCTATGCCATTCCAGGCAAATGCCTGTCCAATCTCTCCATAAAAGCCTCCAGTGTTGGAGCATTCACAACTTTGCTTCCATTGATTAATTGTTCTCACGGTCAGGAAATTCATCCTTAGTTCTAGGTTGCTTCTCTCCTCGATTAGTTTCCATCCATCGCTTTTTCTCCTGCCTTCTTGTTCTGACCCAAACCTTGTTCCAAGGAAACAAATACAAAACAGAGGTAACAGCAAAACCTTTTCATGATTCCTTACGAATTGCGTTCCTTCCTGGTTAAGAGGCTGATTCAAAAACATCTTTGCTTCCTGCAAAGAACTCCGGTTTCTCAGCTGGCTTTTATCTCTTAAGGGAGGGGCCTTTACTTTGCAGCCTTACTCCAGAGTCGCCTGTGCTGCTGCAGCTGCTCTTTCCTTCAAGCAGCCCTGCACACATGTGCACTGGGCCCAGGCTCCTCGGGGACCTCTTCCTCACTGCTGCCAGCCTCCACAATCTCCACTCCCTGATGGTCCTGGCCCCATCCCTGCATCACACGCAGGCCCCTCATCTGAGTCCTCGCTCTCCGAGACCTCAGCCGTCCACACCTGCTGTTGGTGAACCACAACACTTCTGGTGCTTTGGAGAATAGCTTGACTCCCTCTTCTTTGGAGCAGCCCCTGAGATATTAGGACACTGCTATCCTGTCACCTCTGGTCCTTCTTTTCACTAGACTATAACAATTCCTGTAATTATTCTTCGTATGTTTTGTCTTCTAGACCACTAATCCTCTTGGTTGCTCTTGATCTCTTCTAGATGAAAACCTTCAGGCTTACAACCCCCCTGAAACAGGAGGGGAATCGCTCGACTCGACAACGTATCACGACTACGCTGAGCTGCAAAGCTTCCACGAGGACTATAGCTACGACAACATCTGGGAGACAGAGGTGAGGAAGCCGCTCCCCTCTGACCATGAGATCTACGATTGCTAAGGGAAGCGTCCATCCACTGAAGCAGGAAGAACGGAAGGGAGGAATGAGAAAATTGGATGGTGGACTTCTGGAGGCCAGGAACCCTTTGCCCCATTCCCGTTCCTCTACTTTGGCTTGTGGTGCTATGAAAAATAAAAAATACTTCTGAGAAAAGGATGTGGAATTCTTCCCATCCGCTAATCCACTGGGTACCAACACAGCGGTGGACCCTGGTTAGATGGTTGTTATGAAGAAATAACTGTGTCTGTGGGGTTAGAACCAGTCTGGATTTTTGTGTGCCATTGATAGATCTTGCAATTCACCCCCAAACAGCAAAAACAAACAAACAAAACCCACACCCTATCTGCTAACCGTTACGCCAAGGAACAAATGCAACGCTGGTTTTTTTCAAAGTCGCCATTCAATCGGTTGAAGACCTGAGCTGTAAAAATAGATTTTGACGCTCCTGCAGGATTAGGAATTTTGAGATGGCTTGTAGCAACAAACCACCCCCACTCCCCAAAGCAAACAAGTATAAGACATATTTCCCTGGCTGCAACAAAAACAAAAACAACAACAACAAAAAGCACAGCTGTTATGAAGGTTTGCAAAGAGACAGCATTGCTGGCAATTCTGACCCGGGATAAAATGAGGGTATCCTTAGTCAAGTATATAATAAACGGCTCGATCAATACACACAGTGTGATTGCGTGCGCATAAATGTGCCCAGGAAGGACAGCCAGTTTTTACGCCCAGTACATTGCTTCAAGGGAACTTATTTTTCCCAGCGAATCCTCTGCCTTTTGGTGTATGTCATAAAGAAGGACCTTTTTTGCACTCTCTCCGATGGAGAAATATTTTGCTTTGTGAAAGCTGGCTAGGGCTACTTCCTGTGTGCAACTGTTATTCCCAGGGCCTAACACAACCTTGCTTGCTTGCTCTTGGGGACAGTTGTGTTCTCCACGGTTGATAGTTATCCTTTTTTGAAACATGCTGCTTTGTTGATTACCCTTTAAATAATAATAATAAAGCTGCTTGCAAACTATTTGGGGCAGAAGTAGAATGCTTCCTGTTGGGCACATGGAATAGAAGAGAAGACTGTAAGAAGAACAGAGGAGAAGTGAAGAACTGGTGGATCGTTTCAAGAATTGGGAATGTTGCAAAGAAAAGATTCCCTAAGACCCACATTATGTTGTATGTATGCATTATGTTGTGTTTGTTGTTATTTATTCTTCTTCGCTTTTATAGCCCATTGTTCCTTGAAGAAACCAATTGGATAGCATCTTCCGTCTCCTTTCTTTCCTTCCTTCCTTCTTTCCCCATCTCCCTTCCTTCCTTCTTACTTTCCTCCCTCCCTCTTTCCCTCCCTCGATCTTTCTTTCTTTCTTTCTTTCTTTCTTTCTTTCTTTCTTTCTTTCTTTCTTTCTTTCT